AATGCCATGGGGATTCATTCAGTGATTCATTATTCATTTGGCACCTTAAAATTAACTTGGAGTGTGACTGTGATCATATATGTTCTTAGTTTGTTGAATATCTGTAACATATATATGGACAAGAAAACAGTAAGGGAGAAATATTAATTCTTTTCTATTAAAAGATAACATCCATGTGACGATTGATGAATTTTGGTGGAAACCCTTTTCTATGGTGTCAACCCTCAATTTTCTATCATGAAATAATGGAACAAGTTTCCAACTCAAATGCGATTTAATTTCAAATATCAGGGATGTGCTTTTTACTACCTGTAATAGATATATACTGATTTATCTTTTAAAATCACCTTTAATTTAAACCTTGCTTTGAACCTTGGTTATAATACATGCATACCAAAACATGTAGTACTATTTACAATAAATTTAACTGTGTCAACATTTAATTTTAACATCTTGGAATGCCAACAACCATTTGGCTTCCGGTTCATGGTCCAATAGCTGATCTTGGGGTGTAACAATTCAGCTGAAATTACTGGAAATAGTGTCCAAGTGTTTTAATATCATACAAGATTTCTCCATAGATGAACCCTAGATAGCTACTATCAGCAGTATCAATTCAATAAATGTCATTTTTCATGCCACAACTTTAAAGAATTAAACACCCCTTATGCATTGTTGTACTACCTCAGGCACTGATGGGCTGACACAATATGGTCTAATTAATTGGAAATCTCACGCCCGTTTTGAGGGATATTGATAACAGAGTTGCAATATTTCACCCTAAGCAGATGGACCAGCTCCTCTTGAAATCTCCTCCAATCACCCAAGGTAAAGAGGTCCCCACCTCTGGCTTCAGCCAGATCCTCCCACAATCTCTCTCTCTCTCTCTCTCTGAATTTACAGTTCGGTCATAGACATTTGTGAGCTGTCCCTGGAAGCCCCCCTCAAACTCCAGAACCACTGAGACTGAAAACTCCCCAACATGAGAAGAAACCAGTTTGCATTTTGAAGAATTCCAAAGGATTAAGAGCCCCCTGTTGTCCCTCTAGCTGATTTAGTCACCCACCTCACTTGGCCTTGACCCCAAACACTTCTGATTACACCTGCATCTACTGCCTCCAATTTTGTTTCCTGAAAGAACAGTACGTCCGACTCCAACCTTCTTAGCAAATTGCAAATCACCAACCTTCTCCTACCTGACCTCAGACCCCTTACATTCCACGAAAGTACTTTTAGTTCCATCTGCTAACAATACAGAAAACCCCCATTCAGGACCTTAGACTGTACTTCTAGATTATGATTGGTTGGACGTTGAACCATTCCCTCTACAGGCTAAGTCACTACATTATTGATATTAGAGAGTGAAATCCTCTTCAAAAGGATGAATCCATTACCCATATTTCTGAAGGATTTCAAAATCTGCAGGTACTTCGGAGCTCTGGAAAGCTATTTGTTATATGCTTAAAGGTTAGTTCTTGGTGTTAATTTTCACTTGATCATTCAGGCTCTGATACCATCTCAAAGAACCACTAAACATAAAAGCTTAAGCTGTTAGGTGAGGTCCTTGAATAGGATTTTACTGTCTAACATAATCCTTCAACATTATGATCATCAAGCATTTTAGATAGAGCAAACATACAACAGAAATAGTAACTTTAAGAAAGTACAGTAATACGACTATACTTGTCCAATGGGTTAAATGGAATCAAGACTACAGATTTTACATTAGGAACCCAAGAAAAGGGTCATGATTCACATCTATTCCTAAAACCCATTAAGAAAGAAATACATTAGAACAGTTTTGACAACAGAGCCGCAAGGAACAGTTATAATTCAAATTTCCCTCCTAATTAACAAGAAAACAGTGATTGAAACAACAAAAATGGTAATCATATAAGTAATACACAAGTACAAACTATAACTGTGTTCATAATTTAATAATGGATATGTTAATCATATACACAACCCCATATAATTCACAGATAAGGAAAGTTGATATGAACTGAGTGCAATAAACAACATCCAACCCCCCAATACTACCCCCATCCCACCTCTACCATAAAATAAAAAAAAAAAATTAAAAAAAAAAACATTTGAAGGGTGGAGAGGGGGAATCGGATGGGGTAAACATGATTGATAAATTTAGATAGAAGATAATCCCAATATAAACACCAAATAAACTTATTTAGATTGTGGGTTGATCCATAAACACCTCTATAAATAAAAATTACATCACCTTTTTTTTCTATCAATGATATTATATAACCTTTTCACTTACAATATTAATAGAAATCAGTTTGGATATATGAATTTTGAACCTAGCAGACTACAAGGATTCAGATAAAACATGGATAGAAATAAATCTAAGAATTCCATTTGAATCCCCCACTTCACAGATTGCCTTTATTGTCTAATAAGGGCTAATCCAATCATTTATTTTCCAATAGAGAGGTTTTCAAAACAAGATATTCTTGATTTTCTTGCCACATGCAACATAATGGAGAAGCTAAAAGGGACAGTTAATAATAAAGATTTTACATTTCCTAAAGACATGAATGGTAAGAAAATAGAAACAACCCTCTGAGTTATGCAGAATCACATTGTCCTTAAATCAGATTTCGCCCCCTATAGTACACACAACTGATACAGCAAGGTTTGGGCACACCACCTCTAGTTTCAATAGTTGTACGATGCAATGGATAAAATTGCACTGTAATTTGTCAAGGTATGTAAGGGGCTGAGGGCAGCACAGTGCATGAGGCTCCCGCAAATACGGGGTCTGGGGAGGGACAGATGTACACATCCTTATCCGTGCACATATCAAGAGTCTGTTTCCAAGATTTAAACACTGACCACCCAGATCCCAATGGAACAACCAGAACGTTGAGCCAAGGCCCACTGCAATTTTGACAATTAGAAAGGAATCCCCATCCAAATTAAAACCAATCAACATTAATCTGGACAGTTACAAAATAGTTCATCCAACTAAGGTAAACAATTAACCAAACATAATGCATAAGACAAATAAGCAATTCTACAATTGCAAACTTGATTTATAACAGACAAGAAAATAAAAATTAATTAATTAATTAATGATAATGGACCCAGGCCCTAGCATATGTATACTTCCATTTCTCTATCGGAACTGCAAACTCCTTGGCCCAACTACTTATTAGTTCTCTCCCGCACCATCTCCTATCCAATGTGGTGGGGTTGGGGGGAGGTAAATATAAAATGCCAAGGTTAAGAAGAGTGGTGGGGTTGGGAGGTAGGTAAATATAAAATGTTAAAACTTTCGAATCTTAAAACTAAACAAAACACAACAAAATTTCATTGAATCATAAAAAGAATAAAGCACAGTATGATTCAGGAAAATAATCATTTCACTCTAATCAAGGTGAAAGAAAGTCTTGGTCAACACAGTACTGGTTCTATATTTACCCATTCCAAACATGCACAATAACACCGGATATCAGGTTGGCAAAACAACATTCAAAGTTTATGACAAATATATTTGAGAATCAGATATATTTGGTGTATAAACAACACCAAATTTATTTCTTTGGTGTAAATGGTTATTTATTTTAAAGACATCTAAATCTACCATATTGTTGATCCAAATACGTGTGGGGACACCCATTCACAGTTTACAAATTAAAATATCTCATGCTCAGTGTCCCATAGAGATGCGTTATGTGCAAATGAATCAAATGGATCCTTAATGCTTTTGGTTGGATTATGTGGTTTTTGCCCAAAATTTTTGTTGTTGGATCAAGCCAAGCCTCTCTCATCCATGCAAAGAAACCAGTAACCATAAGGAAGAAGAAAGCTCAATATTCTGCCATAATTCCTTTCGCTTCCTTGTTGCACCGCTAAATGCAGAAAGAAGGAAGGAGATAAAAGGGAGAGGTTATAACAAGCAGTCAAAGAATTGTTTTCTGGTACTTGTTCTCCTTGTTCAAGTGATGTGGCAGGTTTCTCTTCCCACTTCTGCAAGTTATACAACAGAAGTCCTTGTTCTTGGATTGGTTCATCGACACAGGAAGCCTCCATTGAATCTCCCTTGCACTGCTCATTCCAGTATGTGTGTATCCAGTTCACAGGACTCAGAATATTCCACTACATAGTACCCTTCACTAAATCAGGTACATTGAATTATTCATACAGAATGAATGTAATACAAGCTATTCCTTTTAAGCATTTTAGTTTAATTTTTTCTTGGTTTTAGAGGAATTTGGTTCTGGGTATTTCTCAAATCAGCTGGTTAATGTATTAACTTATATCGCAGAGTGTTGCAGCCATTGTGTTTGGAGTTGTATCAGAATCAAGGCTCTACCCATTGACAAAGAGGAGATCCAAAGGGGCTATTCCCATAGCAGCAAATTACAGGCTCATTGATGTGGTTATGAGCAACTGAATAAACAACAATATAACCAAGATATATGCTCTCACGGAATTCAACTGCACCTCGCTTAATTCTCACCTCTCCAGAGCTTATTTGGAGTTGGTTTGTGGAAAGATGGGTTTGTTGAAGTTATAGCTGCATATCAGAGCTCTGAAGAAAAAGACTAGTTTCGGGTTAATTTGCACCTATGACAATGAGAAAACAATTTTCTCCATTCAATTTAGTCCTATTTTTTATCTATTTTACTGGGTTTTCATCTTGTCTTCTTCAGCCTACTGTTTCATTGTTTTTGTATGATTTATGGATTTGAAACTTCTTTTCTAATTCAGGGAACTGCTGATGCTGTTAGAAGATGAATGTGGGTGTTGGAAGAATATCCAGTAGATTAGTTTAGGATCCTCCCTGGTCACCATATCTACAACATGAACTATCAGAGACTAATAAAGGCCCACAGGAGCAGCAATGCTGATATAATTTAATTTTTGGATCACATTAATTGAGAAAATAAGAAACCCAAAGATTTTGGTTCTTCAGGTTATAAAGTGTAGGTGTTCATAAGTGACTTCAATTGTTTAGGAGAGAGTGCTAGTGGTACAGCACAGAGAGGATATATTTTGCTGCAATCATGTCCACATATTTGTTCAAATACTCAGCTAGGTTCCTCCCAGTATGGAAATTATCATGTTTATGCAACATTGTTCGTACTCCTTTTGAACTAAAGGGTAAGTAAAACAAGTGAGCTTTTCTGGGGTCCTTCCCAACAAATTGTCTGCTTGCTTCCATCAACTTCATAAACCAACCTTCAGAAGCATAAATTCCTTTCAGTTTTGGCTGATGGAATATTGGTTTTTCACCGTCCATGTAAACATAGACATTGAGCATGCGTTCCATTAAGCCATAACTCCTGCATAAAAGAGCATTGGAAAAAAATTAATATCTTAAAATCTTGATATTCAGAATGCCTAATAGAGTTCCAAAATACATATACCACCGCTCAGACATGTAGGGGCGTTCTACAACGTGAATTGTTTTTCTTGTTGCCGGTTCCAAAAACAAATCATAATCATCTAATCTGAAAATAGATTGTTTCTCAGAACAAAAACACAAAAAACATGTTCTTGGTTGTGTGTTTTCTGTTTTGGAAACTGAAACCAAAAACATGTTTTTATCTGATTATTCAACTTTATGCTCCTTAAATCATATAATTTATATACTAAAAAATTTGCTTTTGTTTTAAAAATCAACATTTTGTTGGTTCCAAAAACATGTACTATTTTTTGAAATAAAACCAACTTGTTTTTCCTTTCAAAAACAAAAACAGACTTCAAGAACATGTTTTTGTTTTTTTGCTGATGTGGTGATTCCAAAAACAAATGAAAACAAAAACATTCATGTTGTAGAACGCTCTCGTAGATTACCTTTTAAACATAGTGAGGTTGCAAAAAACAGAAGCATGAAGTTGTGGATCGTTCCTTATAATTGGAGCCCTCTCAATCTGTGATTTTGCAGATAGAAGTTCCCTATCACGGACTGAAAGCTGTTGTTCCTTCAACTACAGAATGAAAGAAAATCAAGAGAGGAAGTCAACTTTCAATTCAAAAACACTGAACTATCTTAAAAGATCTCAAAATTCAAATCCATACCATTGACTTGGAGGAAACACGACTATGAAATAATAATTGGTTCATTTGGGAGATTGAGATTGGTGGCATCTCCCCCCTCCTCTTCTTTATGTTGTTACTGGTAATTGTAGAACTATTGTTTGAAGTGTTTGAGTCTGCATCCATGTTTCTAACAAGGTCCAAGTTATGGAAAGAAGGTGATGGTAGTAACAAATTAGGTAGGGGAGATCCCACACTAGTATTCAGATTTCCAAATTTCTCCAATGCCGAACCAGTATCTGATTTCGAAGTATCATTGGATAGCAAATCAATTGGTTTCTTACCTTCTTCCAGTGAAATGAAAACCTCAGGTTCTCCCGTTCTTTCTAATGTAGAAACACTTCCTGAACCATTTTTATAAATTTTGGAATTCATAATCAGGGGTTCAGATTTTCCAAATGGTGGCTCATCATATGTGTTATCAACATCATCTAATTCTGAATTATATTCTTGGCCCAGAGCCTCTTCTCATGCGCATAATCATTCTCTGGATTCTCATCTGATTCTTTCATATTCTGAGTTCCCTTCTGCATAACTGAGCCCTTGACCACTCCAAAAGCAAAGATGAGTAAGTGAAATTTGAATCATTTGAGGGGGTCAAGTTACCAATTATGCCATGTGTAGAAGATGAATCCCCTGTTTTAAAATTGCTTCTTCCAAGTAATGGACTCTTAATAGCTGGTAGTATAGAGAACAAAACATATCTATAGGAAAGAGATAGAAACTGAAGCACCAAAGAAGCTGAACCTATTATAAGCACCACCAGAATCAATCTCCTAGATTTCACCTGCAATGGTCTTTAGACTAGGAAATTATAAGCCATATCATGATAAGAACAATTAAATGCCCAACAAATTAACAAACCAGTCAATCTGCGAGGAGCCCAAGCTACTATGGTTTCTCTTGGCCTGTAAAGTTAGCCAAAGCTCTATATCATTACAAGGAAAACTGTTAATTCAGAGCTTGCCTTAAAGACAACAATGTAAACATATTAACCAATTGCCAAGCCCCAAAATCTTGGAGGCCTAGATTGGCAATGCAGTTTCATTTGCAGGTGTGTAAAAGATTTTGAGTGCAAATTTTTTATTTACATTTTATTTCAGTTTTCACCTTAATTTGTTTATTTGCATTGCAGAAAGTAAAATAACCCAAGTAAAACCAACAGCAAAGTTGAACCAACCTAAATTTGCATTCTCATTTGCATTCACATTAGTGCAAATGAAATTAGTTTTAAATAACTGAAGAAAGAACGGTATGACTCATCAAACATGAATTTGACGAAATTTGAAGCTTTTTTACAGTAATTTTATGATAAAATCTACAGATAAAGCTTGTAAAAAACTGAAATCAAGAAAAGTTGATTAAACAAAACCTACAGTTCCGAGATTTGGAGAATACATTACGACTTTCTATCCTTGCACGAAGAGCAGAGCAGGGGCAGCTCAACCTGGAAGGGAATGAACCTACGACTTTCTGAAAGAAACCCAGACAGAAGTTGCAGTTTTGTACCAATATTCCTTCTGCAGATTTAACAAAGCACTGTTTCTGAACGAAATTATACTGGCTAAAGCACGGTTAACCTAGATTAGATCATCTGGGGCAGATTCACAATATTATTATAATATTTATTGAAAGAGTGACAATTGCACGATATTCAAACACAGAATGTTCGTCTCCCAATTGTCACCCAACTTGCTGCTCTGTCTCCCAGATGTCATCATTCTCAGAGAAATGAATGAAATGGTAGTACTTCCTCTGAACACTCCATTCTCTTGTGATCCTATTTCCTTACCGTCTTCCTCCTTTGTCTGCACTTTGATGCTTGGAACCGTATCAGATAGGCCATGTGTGTAAACCATTCACCTGTACTTCATAGATTTCGTAGTAGTGATTGGGTTCTATAAACTAGACGGGTTTATTTGTTTACAGAACCATCTTTACCAAAGAAACTAGATGTGCTGACATGAAGGGAAATATTCACACAAACAATAGATTCATTTTAAAACATGTTGATTTCTGACTCCCATAATCCTAAAATTCTGCCGCCTAAATAGGCAGTTCTGGGCACTAAGCCTTGTTTTCGAAGTGGTTTCTGCCAAGAAACTGGTAATCAACAGTTACCAGACTATATGCCATATGAGTGCAAGTGGGTAGGGCTTCCATCTTCACCTGTTTCCTTTCTGCCATTCCCTCCTTTCCCTATAAGATTCTCCTCAGCGAAACCATTAGTAGCAACCAATATCTATGAGTAGGGTATCTTAGGCCGCATTGGAGGATAATGAAGTGGGTATTGGTCCTTCAAGCTTGTTCATCCCCATCTAGAGTTGCCTTAGATTCGGAAGGCCAACACCCATGTTGAATGGTAGCTTCCCGACGAGGCTATTCTGTGTTACAAAGATATTCTTCAGAGAGGAGATGTTGAAAATGGAACGAGGGATCTCATTAGTAGGCTGGTTAACAGAGATCTGAAGAGTGACCAGGTTCCTAAGATGACCCAACTCATTGGGAATTCTACCCACTAATTCGTTTTGTGAAAGGCCCAGCAAAATAAGAGAAGAGAGATTTCAGAGAGGCGTTGACAGAGAAGAGAAGGGCGGAGGTAGAGGTGTAAATCGGCCCGGGCCGTGCCAGGCCCGCCTGGAATTTTAGGTCAACGGGCCGGTACGGTACGACCGAGCGGGCCGTACCGTCCGCAGCCCACGGGCTGGTACGGCCCAGCACAGCCCGGCATGGCCTATAAATATATATTTGATATATATTATTATATAATTATAATATATAATATATTAATATATTAATAAAATAAATATTTTTTTAATTTTATTATACTAATTTATTTAATTATAATATATATAAGCAATTTTATACACAAAATTCATATAAAATTAAAATTTTAAGTTTTTTGTCAATTTTTTTAAATAAATAGCTTTGGCCTGATACACGGTTCGACCTAGCCCAAGGCTCGACCCACGGGCCAGCCTGACCTGTGGCACAGCATAGGCCCACATGGGCTTGAGCCGTGGGTCGTGCCAGGCCGACCCCCAAATTTTTCATCGAGGAGAGCGACATAGCCTGTGATGGTCCGCGGGCCAACACGTTTGTGAGGGCTGCCCACGGGCCATGACGTGTCGGCCCACTTTACACCTCTAGGCGGAGGCACAGAGATTGAGGTAGAGCCCGGGATGGATTCGAGCCGAGCGGAGTCGAATACTTTGTAAGCTAGAGTTCGAGTTCAATTCGAGCTAGAAACTTGAGTTCAAGTTCGGCTTGGTTTGAGCTCGCTACAAGTTAATTTTTTTTTGAAAAAATAAAAATAAATATATAAAAATATTTTTTATTTTATACACAAAAAAATTAAGAATTATAAAAATTATTTATTATTATACATATAAAAAATGTTTTTATTTTATATACAAAAAAATAAGAATTATAAAAAGTATTTACTATTATATATAAAAAATAAAAATATTATATATAAAATAAAAAAATATTTATTATATATATTTATATGTATATGTATGTGTGCATGCATATATGTATGTATATAATAAAAAATATATTTATTTATTATATTAGGCTTGCGAGCCTCCTGAACCAGCTTTATTGGGCTTAAACTTGACTTGATTAACAAACGATTTTATATATCAGACTTGAGCTCGGCTCAAATCTTGATTTAACTTTTCACTAGACAAGTGGCTCGTAGCCAACCATAGGCAGAGGGTTATATTCGAATATAACAAAGACTAAAATGGTAATTTCCTAACATATGTTAATCTGTTTATCGTCAAGTTATTGACATGGGATTCACTCGAGAAGAAGTTCCTTTCCACCTTATTACTACATCAATATTAGGCCCAATTCTATGAGACCTGATTTGAAGTTTATAGTCAAAATTTGTAAACCTGATTAGAAGTTTATAGTCAAGAACATTCTTTAGATGGATATACATATTTACATGTATAAAAAACCATGTACAAGGAAGGATATAAATATTTGTTTCTGTGCGAAAAATGTTTCCAAATTGGGTCAACTAGAGAGCTTCCTACAAGATGAAACCAACTTTTGTCATCTTTGGCTGATCTAGACCATCCATCAGATAGAAACCTACTGCACAACCAAAATATTCAATCATGTAGTCCACATCAGTCCTTACTTGTCTAAATATTTTCCTTAAAAAATATTTAATTCATTAACTCACTGCTACGGATTGGTTGTGGTTTTGATAGGATGTTCTATTAATGATGTTTCTCTTAAAAGAAATGAATGATAGATTGCATAGTTTAAACCACTGAACCAGAGTAATTTACTTGTGTAATTGGTACAAACCTAGGAACATCATTATGCTTTTGCTACCAAAACTAATCCTGAAATGACACTATTATCTGCACTTCTCAAAGATGATCCTATCTATCTAGCTACCCAATGTCCAACACAGCAATAAGAAAGGATTTTGGGATGTAATTGGGTTGGGGTTACTATAGGTGTAAATCGGGCTGGGCCGCCCGACACGATTTTGGACCGGCTCGGTCTGGCATGACACGAAGGCCCACAGGCCATGTCAGGCTCGATATGAAGGTCCATGCCATATTGGGCCGGGGGTTTGAGGTCTACGGGCAACTTTGGAAAAATCGTAATGATAGGGTTTTTAACAAAAGAAACGTGGCTCCTTCTAGTATTATCGAGAGAGCGAGAAATTCTTGGGAGGAGATCCAAATTAGTGAGGAAAGGGATGTGATGGATGAGAGGAGGAAAAAAATTATTCCTATTAGGTGGTCAAATCCTGGATTTGACGTTATTAAAGTCAACTTTGATGCCTCTTGTATTAATGAAAACTGTTCGATAGCTTGTATAGCTAGAGACAATATGGGCAGAATATTGGACTTCATGGCTTATAAATTAGGTATTTCAACTATCAATGCGGCAGAGGCATGGGCTGCATGGGAAGCCCACAATGTTGTTCTTAATTTCTCTATCAGGTCCATTATCATTGATGGTGATTCTAAGCTGGTGATTGACTATTTGAAGAGTACTACCAACCCCCCGTGGAGAGTGAAGCCAATTATTGATGGTTGCAGGTTGTTGTTTGAGAGGGTTCAAGAAATTGTGGACTACTAGCATTTATTCAAAGAGGGGAATATGACTGCATATTGGCTTGTTAATCATGTGCATTCGAATGAAGTCTGCAATAGTTCTATTCCTAAGGATTTATTTGATATTTGCTGTTGTGATTTTTGGGGAAGTGTTTCCCCTCGTTATATAGCCCCCTTTTGGTTTTATAAAAGAAAATCTCTTAAACTATCCCTATTGTTAATGAAATTGACAAGCTGTATTTAGATATTCTAAAGTAGCTGTTTCTAAAAATTGACATTGCTGTA